TTATACCTATTTTGTTTTTGCTTTTTCAAGCAAGACTTCCATGAGAATGATGCAAGTCATTGTTTTAGTGAGCCTTTGATGAATTTTGGGCTCTATGTTATGATAGGTTAAGCGAGAATGTGTTCTTTGTCCTTAAGTATTTAAATTTATTTTTGTTACATTTTGCTTATAAGAATTGCTATTGACAAGTTTCTATCTACGAATGTTGTGATATTATGAAATTGTTAATAATGATGGACGTATGGGTGGTGTGTTATGATTGGTTTAACTGTATGTTTTTTTATTAGATGTGGATGTACCATTTTGCATATTGTATTTGTACTAGGACTTATCATTTTGCGTATCAAATTTGTACTCATCGCACTACAACACAAAAACCATTCCATGACACCTGATTTGCGTCATGGATGACTTTTCATGACGCAGATGAGATGTCGTGCCACGCGTCGTCTAATGGGGGGGTCGTGGAAAGTTTTTCTAAACTATGACATGTGAAATGCGTCATGGAAACTGCTTTCGATGACGGCCATCCCGCGCCGTTATTTTTACTTTCCATGACATCTTAGGTGCGTCATGGAAATATTTTCTATGACGTTGTTTACGCGTCATTAACTCTTTGACGTGGATTAGACGCCATCGTTAGGGCTTTCAATGACGAAAGTTGGGAGTCATTGAATTTCACGACATTTAACCGGCGTCATAGAATTAGTTTTCATGACATGCTTCAGACGTCATCAGAATTTTTTTTTATTTTTTTTAGGAATATGTATATTCTGCAATAAGAAATCAATATATATATATATATTTATATATCTAACAACCAAGATTAAGCAAAACTTAAGACATACGATTAACAAATACTCTACATTGTATTTTTATTAATCAAAACAATTCTAGTACATCATGAGAAGTTTAACATTGAAAGTAGTTTGTCTTTAACAAAATTGTGGTTGAAGGTGCAGTCACATATGAATAATGCCCTTCTCCTATATCTTTCGCCAAATTCCCAGTCTTTCTTCACCAGCTTTTTCCCCATCTCTTTCAATGTTTTTACTACATTTTGCCTAGTTTTTTCCTTGTCTCTTTCAAGGCATTCCCGGCATGAAACCAAGATTATGACCAATACATAACACATCTTTTCAAATATTGTTTGAGTAAAAGAACACAAGTTCATGACAAACATGATTCCAAATCTCTTTTACTTCTTCCCAAAAGACCAAATAAGGAATGAATTGAATGTAATGAAGAAACTTGAATACTATGAGAACTCAATTCAGCTATGTTGAGCTGATTGCAAATTTTCTGGGACTCGTTTTCATTGGCAGAACTACTCAACTTAACTGAAATGAAAATTTGTACTGTTATTGACAATTATTATTAACACAAATATCATGTCATTCAACTTGTATATCATAGTCAAGTTCAAAAATCAAGTCAATACTTTATGCAGAAAAATAGATTTTCAGCCACATACTTATATTAGAACACCAAGTTATATACAGAATTCCATACTTTAATACAATATCGTAGGCTTTCAATACAATATCCTAAGGTTTAGAGCCATTACCTTCTTTTTTCTGCAATTCCTAGAAGAGATTTGTTTGATCAAGTAAAAGAAATACTTTGACCAAACTTATAGTTCAAAAGAGCTGCACATTAAAAAAACAAAACAGAAAAAGGGAAAAACTTGATCAAAATTACTAAAAGAACATGCAAAAATTTCTGACCGAAACCTTGTGAACCACCCTATATTAATAGTTATACAAGTCAATGCTGTAAAAATAACAATTTCAAGCACACTCAGAGGTGGTAAAGCTGCAAAATAACAATTGTCATCAAGTAACACTGATGAAATACTACTTTAACATAATATTCAACAAACATGGAGATGATGTGAGATACGTAAAACATAGAGCTAACTGAAAAGAAGCAAAAAGAAAGGAAATCATATCAAAAATGCATTCAATTCGAAGTTAAGGAATCATGTCGAAGACTGAATTCAAAACAGATTTAAGTTACAGACTTTTCTGTTTTTCTGCAGCATAACGCTAACTTGGAAAAGTTACCATAAATTCATTTTAACTCTGATTTAAATGAAACAAGTTTTCAAATGTTCATTGAGATGTCTATTTTCATATAACAAAGTAAGTGTTTCAAAACTAAAACTGCAGCCCCTGTTTTTGACAGATTTTGTAGTCATACTTTAATTACCAAACTTAGGTATCAAACTTCAGCCAAATTACATGATATCAGAGGGCTTTTAATCCTGGATATGTATAATTTATAACCAAGTACTTATATCTGAAAATTAATCCACAATCTGTGCAAAACTAATAGTCAACGTGGGTAAAACAATCACACTTTCTGAAAATCTGAAACTTAACAACTTATGCACCTATTTATTTTTTAACCAAAACAAAACTCCAAAACACTTATGCGCAATCTTAAAAACAAGTATATAATTTCAGTTCTGACTTCTACTCAATTACCAACAAGAATCGAAGTTTGAAATACCAAAACCTAAAACTGAAAGTTGATCAATACACCCAAACTTAATAAATTCAATTTGTGCTCTTCTTTCATTTAGTTTCGTGGGTTCTATGGAGCAATCAATCAACTACACAATTTAAATAATCAACTCAACAGAGACAACAAAATCCAAAGACAAGAAATTAAAATCTGACAAAACAAACTTACACAGGGTTCAAGAAGAAATTCAAAATTCCTTGAGCTCTCTCAAGGAATCTCAACCTGACTTAATGGCTTTATGCAGCTCTCTCAAATGTTCCTAGAAGAAATTAAAGGCTCAAAAAGACATCTCTTCACCAGCTCAAATGTCCCGAAAATTCATTACAAAAATAATAAAATTAAAAAGAATTAGGGACAAACTAAAATATAAATGAGAAAAATACAAAAAAGAGAAGAAGAAGAAAAACTTTGTACCATGAGCATTGAATTACCACAACTTCAATTAGAATCTCCATATTCAAGGCTCAATATCACAGATCCCCTGCAAAACAAACCACCATTGGAGATAAACGAGAAGAAAATATATGGAGAACATCAGGGGGCGCTGGAGAATGAGTGAAGAGTGAACAGAGAAAGAAAAGAAAGGGATGATAGAGAATGAAGAGAAGATTTGGAGTTGGGGTCAAAGAGAGAGAGATCATTAGGTCTAAGAATGAAGAGAAGATTTTAGAAAGAGAGAGACAACCTTATGGAAGGGACTAGCAGTAAACTAAAATTTCATCCAAAAAAAGAGCGCGACGAGAAAAAAATTGGGGCCTCAAAACCAAATTTCATGGCGCAGAATCTATGTCGTAAAATAACACCAATTCCATGACGCATATACTGTGTCGTCAATGCGTTAAAGCTTTTATGGCGCTCAAGACGCGTCATCTTGAGTATATTAAAAACATTTCTATTATTTGTGAAAATATAGAGGGCAAAATTAACGAGGGAAAAAAAAAAGGTGGGAAATTTTCATAGATCTAAGACGCATAGGAAATGTCATCAAAAAACACTTCCATAACGCAACTAACCCGCCATGAATACTTGATTCTATCACGCGCAATATGCGTCATTGATTTAAGAAACATTTCATGACGCTTATCCAACGTCATCTAAAGTCAAAAAAATTTATGACGCGCTTTACGCGTCATTGAATGCATATTCAATGGCGTGAATATCGGGATGTCATTGAAGGATATCACAAAGGGTGATTTTATTGGCACCCCATTAATTACTCTTTACACCTTCTTCCTGGTATTATTGTCACCGATCGAGAGTTAGCACTCTTGAATTCTATTACGTCTATATTTCCGAAAGCACGACATTTATTATGTAGATGGCATATTAACAAAGGAGTGTTGGCAAACTGCAAGAAGTTATTTGGGACCCTCAAACAATGGAAGCAATTTAATGAGGATTGGAATACTTTGGTTGGTTCAGAAACGGAGGAGGAATATTGGCGTTGTTTGCGACAGATTGAGTCTAAGTTCAGTGAATTTCAAAAAGCTCTTGAATACATACATGAAAATTGGTTAAATCCATTTAAGGATAGGTTTGTGGCCGCATGGACAGACACTTGTATGCATCTTGGATCGACGACCTCAAATAGGTAAGTATTTTAGTCAACTTTTGATATGTTAATTTGAAAATTTATTTTGCTTCAGGAAAATTTATTATTGTTATCAACAGAGCGGAAAGTGCACATGCAAAGTTGAAGCGACAGCTTCGCTAAAGCTAACTTAACTTTGAGAGATCATGGGTAACTATACACTCATTGTTAGAGCTGGAGCACACAGAGATTAAGGCATCTTTTGAAAAGAGTCGATGTTTTATTCAACATAGGTTCAGGCATCCGGAGTTTAGAGAGTTAGTAGGTTTTGTTTCTATAAAGGCTTTGAGTTTAATTATGTGCGAGTTAGAAAGGTAAATTCAATTTACTTATTGCATGTACATATATGGTTTACAGAGTTAACATTGTACTTTTTTTGCAATCAGGTTAGAGATAGATGGGGTGAATACTTTGTCATGTGGTTGTGCTATTCGTCGAACCCACCAATTACCATGTGCACATGAAATTGCGGAGTATAGAGAGCATGGTGTACCAATACCACTTTATGTCGTGCATTCACATTGGAGGAAATTAGATATCATCAATATAGGAAACAGTAATCATGGCACAACTTCACCAGGAAGGTCACAACTACAAAGATTCAATATGTGGTATGAACAACAAGATGGTGAGAAGAAGAGACAAGCCCACATGACACTGGAGGAGCTAATGAACCCTGGTTATACTGCGCTTACTGAACCAAATGAAGACCAAAGGGAGACCGCGAAAAGTCGACACTTCTACTCGTCGTTTGCCATCTGCATTTGAGATTGCTGAGGCCTCCATTGCTCTACCTAAAAATAAACCAAAGCAAAGCCTGACTGCCTCACTCAAAATAAAATCGAAGAAAAGTACCATTGCAGTGCCAAAAAAAAGAAACATGGTTGCTTCTAGTTCCATGTTGTCTAATCCAAAAAAAGTTAAGGTATGTACTATAAATGTTTAATTTTACAATGTGTTATTACCATATAACTAATATTTTGTTTTATTTTCAGCTCTATAAGCCTCGCGAAAACCAATCAGCATTCGATACATATATGCATATAGAGAAATTCCCTGAGGGTATTAGGAAATATATCACTCACCAGACTGAAGTTCTTCCGGATGGTAACTGTGGATATAGAGCCATAGCTATGGCAATGGGATTTGGTCATAATGAATGGCGTAGGGTACGCAAGGATTTGTTGCAACAACTACATGATATGTCTTTTGTTTTTAAGAAGTGTCTTCGGGAACATAAACGATACAACGAGATTGAGCGAGCGCTCAATTATTTTGATGATGGATTTGCACCATTCTTTTGTTGGATGACCATGCCTGATATGGGACATATTATTGCCACACGTTATAATGTGGTTTTAATCCTTCTAAGCATGCGTCAATGCCTTACATTTCTTCCTTTCTCAGTTCAATCAAGCGAAACCAAGCTAAATGAGATTGCCATTGGTTTTGTTGACGATGATCACTATGTCCAGGTATGAATTTATTTGTTTACGCAACATTGGTTAATTTTATATGCTATGCGTATATGAATGGATTCTTGTTTTGTAGGTTCATTTGTCTCCAGATCATCCTATTACTGAAGAAGAGAATGCCTTGTTGGTAGACATGTCTAAGAGTTTGGTGAAACCCAGAGATATTTTGGTCAACCAAGCACGTGTGGATGCTTTTCAACAACTTCCGGGAGTGGAGAATGTAGCTACTACAGATACCATCATCCTAATGACTGATGAAAATGCACCTGTTACAGAATTGAGATTATGTCATCCTAATGATTGATGAAAATGCACTTGTTACAGAATTGAGATTATAGATCTAATAATTTTATTTAATTTTTTTTCACATGTAACCTGAAAAATAGATCTTTGTGTGCATAGTCATTTAGAGTTGAAGGAGAAAGTTGATAAAATAATGCAGGAGTTTAACCATAATCGGTCGCAGAACCTCCAGAGTTGAAGGAGAAAATAGAAAAGGTGAACACAGAGATTTATGAGGAAATTGAGAGAGTCTGTGGTGGCCACAGAGATTTCTTATGTTGTTAAAATATGAAAAGTCTGTGCTGGCCAACTTATTCGGTAAGTCTGTGCTGGCCGTTGTCTATACTTCTGCACGTCTACCGACGTTGTGCCATTGTCAAAACTAAATCAGACACACATAAACAAAAACAGAACATAAACAGCCCTTATTTCTTCTGTCGTTCTGCATAGCTGTATGAGAATCATTATTTACAAAACAGAACATAAAAAAAATATTCTATTGTAATGTTCGAAGCAGAGCAAGATCTAACTCTTTGTGGCAGCAGAACTTACAATAAATAAGTAGTTCTTATCATCCAGTTAATCATATATTTAAGTACAAACTTCATAATTAATCAAAACAACAAAAGTTCCATGAGTTCTAATACAAACATGCAATAACTAATGAAAACAACAAAATTCCAAGAGTTCTAATACAAATATGCATTAGCTAATCAAAACAACAAAATTCCATGAGTTCTAATAAACGCATGCTAGCAAGTCAGTTAACCATGACGACATTGATATGTCATGGTAGACCGTATGTTTGTACCCTCTAAAATCTGTTGCAAGGTCTCAACTGCTTGATAAACTTGGGAAGGTCGTGTACACAATGCAACTGTTTTCCCTAATGCCACGAGCGGCCTAGTAAAGGACAACATACGCTCGTCACGCTCCTGTAACAAATTTGAATTCAATGCCTCAGTAAAAAGTGCAAAATTGAAAAAATGGAAATAAAAAAAAATTAAAAATTTTACCTGATAATATCTGCTTTGCATTGAGGCAAATGGGTCAAATGCAGCTCCATAATTAGGATTTTGGACAAACGGATATCCCACGTTGAGGTACCACTCCAAGTACCCAGGCACAGTATTTGATGGTCTCCTCATTGGTACACTACGGTTCGCCTCTCCCAACATGTGGTTCTCCCGATTGTCCCACATTTCCCCAAAGTAAGAATTATATTCTACCTTCTATTGTCACAGTAAAACGACTTACTTGATTATTCCAAATTGTAGCTGCTATGTGAGTTTTAAAACTCGTAAGTAAAGATGGATCAATGGGACCTAGTCGAGATGGCTCAGTAGGCTCGGCATGTACCTCAACATTACTATCCTGAGCAGTAGCTACATCTTCAACCTCTGCGTCAAGATTACTATAATCAGTAGGAACTACATCTTCAAACTCTGTAGTATCCTCAATTTGATCTTGGGGAGCTGCTCTCTGTCTCTTCGCTGAGGCCGTGGACGTTGTCTATTAGGTCGTGATGATGAAGCTTCAGTAGTACCCCTGCGAATCCTCTTCATATCTAAAAATAAAAAATATTAAGTACACACTCAGTAACGTATTCGGTACATAATCACTGAAAAACGGAAATAAATTCGGTGGACAATCACTGAAAAAAGAATACATATTTGGTGGAGTACCACTGAAAAACCGAAAGAAATTCGGTGGGAGTCCCCTGAAAAATAGAAACAGATTCGGTGGACTACCACAGAAACAAGGTAACAATTTCGGTGGTAACCCACCGAAAGTACAAGTTCAATTCGGTGGACTACCACTGAAGAAATGTAATCATTTCGGTGGCAATCCACCGAAACTAGAATCCAATTTCGTAAAACCAGGTTCGAACTACCTAGAACCTTGAAATCGAAATCAAAATCAGTATCAGACTTTGGCTTTTCAAAAGTGAAATCAAATGTAGGCTTAATCAACACTTAGAAACGTAAATATATAAATCAAATTTGAAATCAAACCTTGAATAAGGATTTGTGAGAACTTGACCTTCAATGGCTTTTGGGTTTGCAGAGATGGAGATGGGTGTGATGGTTCTGTTTCAGAGATGGTTCAGGTTTGCTGGAGGCAATGGCAAAGGGCTTCTTCGATGGTGAGCAAAGATCTGCGATGGCAAGGGATGAGTTCTTCGATGTTCTGCGATGCAGGCAATGGCAAAGGGCTTCTTCGATGATTCTGCGATGGAGGTTGGTGTAAATGGGATGGGGTGTGCGATGGGGTGTGTCTGCAAGAGGAGAGAATTTTCGGTGTGGTGTGGCTGGATATTAGATGGGGTGGGGTTTGATTTCAGATGGGGTGTGGCTGAAAGGGAAGGGGGGTTTTCAGTGGGTGGTTAGGGAATGGGGTTTATGAGGGCAATTTAGGGAAAAAAAAGGGGGTTTAATGAGTAATTTGAAATTTTATTAAAATTTAGTGAGGTCTAAAAAATTATGGGTTGTAAAGAGTAATTTATGGGGTTCATATAGAATTTCCCTTTTTAATTATATCCCCATTTTGTAATCACAAATACTCCATATAAAAGCTTCCTACTGACGGTCTATTGCTCATCTTTCACTTTTTTTTTTCTTGTCAGTCGTTGCTCTTCTTCTTCCTCTTCTATCTAGTCTTTTCCTCTTCTTCCTTCTGCCAAACCTCACAAGAATCCACCTTCACTGTAGAAGCTCGCTTAATTCAATTTTCTCTTAGTTATATCTTCAAACTAGGAGCTAATTTGAACATTAAGGTTGAACCCCAAATTCGGAATCGAACCCTAACCAAGGCGTGACTCACCACCTCCATCATTGGCCTCCATAACGAAGCCATAATCGTGACTCTCCACCTTCGTTGTTGACTTCCACCATAAAGCCACAACACCTTCATCTTCGATCTTCACTGTGGTGAGTTCTAATATTGCTTTTGATTTTTTTTTTTTTGGGGTTTCTATTATTGATTGAGATTATTAGGTGATTACTTTCATTATTTTCAATGAGACATTAATGGGTTTCTGTTGTGGTTTGTTTATTGTTTCTGTGATTGAATGAAATTTACCAACTATTTCCTGTGGTTGTCAAGCTCTTGGACTTGGATACATTGTTTGTACTTATGATTTGTCTCTAAATCATGCATATACTGGTTTGTGATTGAGACTTGGACTTGCCTCCTTGAAAGTTATGTATTCACTCTTTTGTGATTGTGATTTGTCTGTGAGAGCATTTAGGTGATATATCAAATTAGGACTTCTGGCTTTTCTGAGCAATATGTAAGAATACATATAAAACTCATAGATGCTCTTTGAAATAACAGTAATGTGGGTTTTAACCGTAAGAAACCAATAGCACCACCAACAAATGCAAAATTCTCATCATTTACTTCTTTTAAAAGTGATTGGAGAGTTTGTGAGTTTTATAAGAATGCTAATATTTTAACATACGTTTGATAGTGTAAAGTTGGCATGTGTTGGATCCTTGTTTTATCTATTTTTTTCGTAATTCAATCCTGGATCTGTTTTTGGTGCGGTCTACAATCCTCAAGGTTGGTATCATGCCAAGGTTGTGTTGGTGCCATAAAAAGGGTTCTTGAAAAACTTGAAGGTTTGTTGACAACTCTTGCATTTATTTAGTTCCATTGTCTTGTTGTTCTTATTCTCTGAGACTGTGCTTCTTTAACTGTTTGAACAATGCCAAATGCACTATTGATGATTTCCTGATTTTCTGATTTGTATTTTTACTCGCTTGCCAGGATACACATTCACTTCACCCATGTTTATAATTACTTTTATATTGTAACTGAGTAGTATGAAATTGTTTGCATGAATGTGAACTTTAATTTTACAATGGTACTGTCTTGTGAAAGCTTGCCATATGAAGAATTAGGTCATTTAGAAAAGCCAACAATATGTATGAATTTTGGTATTGGTTTCTGTTTTGAAATTCAATTGTGATTAAATGTTATGTTTTTGTTTCCATTGTGATCGAATGATTTTTTTTACTTCTAATATGCATTTTTTATCCGTTCTATATAGATGGAAGATTGTCTTGCTTCAAGTGGCAGCATTCTTTTGGGGAGAAAATTGCTAACTTTTAGCTTAAATTAGGGTCTAAGAGGACATGTCCTAGAATTTTGCTGATAGACATAAATTGTGTTAAAATTTCCAACCAAGAGGAGGTGTAAATTTTTTATTTTTTGCCACTTTCTTATGTATATCTTAAGATGTAATGAGATAACATTGTTAGTTCATCAATTTATGAAAGTGAAGTTACAAGGGAATTTGTCAATTTCTCTAATTTCCATGGTTTTATCATTTCCCTTGACAAAGAAGAAAAAAATAAAAATGTAACCAAATCAATGATTTAATTGGCAAATGCCATGACATATATGTATTGCACATGTATAGCCCTTTATAGCTTATGTATTGCCCTCGTATCTTTTGTTTCATTTTTTTTTTTCAAGTCTATTGTAATAAATTTATAAGGGGAGTATGAAGTTTGTGTACTGCTACTGTATTATTGCTCGTGTATAACTACTAAATTGCTTCCATAGTAGGGAAATTGGGAAATTATGGGTGTAAGAATGTGAATTCATCAAGGACGTTACATCCTTTAAAAAAAAATATGTTATATACATTTGGTGTATATTGCTTGTATATTGTCTGTATATTGCTTGTTTATTGTTTGTTTATAACCATTTATTGCCATTTATTGTCATTGCATTGTATGTTTATTGCCAATTTATAGCTTGTGTCATTTTTGAGAAAAAAAATTAATATAAACTCTTGTGGCTTGTAATGCATTTATATTGCCTCTGTATATGGCTTATATTGCTTAGGTATTGCCCCCATATATGGCTTGTATTGCCTATATATTGTGCAAATAGGACTCTCAAATGAATTAATGCAAAAATTAGTAAAAACCAATTAATCAATGGCAATAAGAACACAATAGGAGGTTATATAGTAGCAATACTAAAGCAATATGAGGCTATGCAGTAGTAATACAAAAACTATAATAATCCATCTTATGCAAGAAATGTTGGGCAAAACACAATGTATATAATGTTCTCTCTTCAATTTATAATATAAGTAAAAGTAATTTTTCCAAAAGCAAAATATCTAGGTCCAATCTTCATGAAAAAAAAAAAAAAAACCCTGCAAAAGAGATGGCGAAACAAAAAAATTTCAGGTCCTCTTTGTTGTGCAACAACAATTTCATCAACAAATATGCAAGGTGCATTTTTCGTGGCCTTCTTAAAAAGATAGCAAACTCATGAAGCACCAACACCAACAACAACCAAAGGTTAAGTCAATAAGCCTAGCAATAACTCATAGGTAAGCCTAAATCTAAAACATTGAATGATGATGGCTATCATACTACAATGCCTTTGTACACTCTTCCCGGTCATCAAATAACTCTTTTTTCTCACCTTATAACTTATATGGTTTATGGCATCTGCTGTCAACAACCTACAACAATGAAACATAATTTTAGAAAGAGAAACAAGGAAGGTTATAAGAATTTTAGAACAATTCTAGAGTGGATTGTGGAATGAACAAAGTAGTCTTGCAATTGGTGAACCCATTATCCAATTCCTCTACAAGCACAATCTAACTTTGAAAAAAGTGTTCTACATTGTATAGGAGTTAACTAAAGTAAGTGGTGAACATCAAGCACAATCTAACTTTGCACCATTTCACTTCGATTATTATCTTACTGGATATCAAGCGTTTGCTTCTTCTTAAGCTCACCATTGCCGATTCAATATTATGGATGCAGAGAGCTCACTTAGTAGTTCATTATATCAATTTATGTAGTTCATTCAAAAATCACATCCCAAAACATAACAAAACAAATTCAGATCATAACAAATTCTTGAAGATGCAGAACACTTTCAAATGACCTGAATGTTCCTTTATATTAGATCACACAATTCCTATAAAACCAAGAGACCATTGAACCAAATAATCAGCAAAAGAAAAACTTCAAAATCATTGTAGCCTGGACAAGCTTCAAGCTTCAAGCATAATATTCTTACGACAAACAGAGAAATATTTGTTGCACAATCCCAAAATTTTGGTTCAACAAGTTTTTGTATAATCCTACTTAAATAACATTCTCTACACAAGCCAAAAAAATATTAATTTTAAAAAAAGAGATAAAATTTTAAATTAAACCCACAATTATGTTTCAACAAATTTTTGTACAATCTCACTCAAATTTGACTTGGAGGGACTTGAAGTGACATTAAGCACCAAAAATTCCAACCCATATATGAAATTGAAACAAGCCAAATAACATATGGGTATGAAAGTAAAGCAGAAAAGTTGAGTACCTGAGATGCCATGGATTTTAGGAAAGCTAAGAAAAATTGAGAAATTTGTTGACTCAGAGGGGAAGAACAACAGTCGAAAGAGGTGACAGAGAGTGAGAGATGAAGGTGGAGAAGGGCGGCTGCAAGAGAGAGGGATGGGTTAGGGTTTCTAAGGAGGTGGCAATTGTTGTCATCGTGGGTGGGAGTGAGAGAGAGAAGAAAAGAAAAGATAAGAGATGGAAGATATAACTAAGAGGATATGGAGTTCGGTGAGATTCGTGGAGGTGGATTTTCTATGAAGTTTGAAGAAGAGGAAGAGAAAGAGACTAGGGAGAAGAGGAAGAGGAAAAGCAACGACTGAGAAGAAAAAAAAAGTGACAGATGGGCAATAAACTGTCAATAGGGAGTTTTTATAGGGCATATTTGTGATTAGATTTCAAAATGGGAATATTATTGAATAAATTAGTTGCACCGGGAGTAAAACCGCCAATTTTCTAATAAAATAATAAGCGGCTTTAGCCTTCAATAATACTATTTTAATCAACTTCTAATAGTGGGGGCAACCTTTCTTTTTAAATCTTTTGGGACGCAAAACCACCCATACGGAATTACATATCTAATTTTTGAATCTTTTAATATATTGCAAAGTTTTTCATACCTTAGAAAAGCTTTTCAATGCATCATCTTCTACAGTAATAGTTCCTAAAGTTGGATTCCCACCCACCCACACAATGGCGGATCTAGTAAGGAGCCAGTGGAGGCACTAACCCCAACTCAATCTTGTTTTACAATTATGAAGGTGCCAAGTTTTCATGATATTTTATATTGAATGAAGGCAAATTATTTGATAAAATGCCTCAAAGAAAGCTAAGGTAGGGCAAATGAATTGTTGAGACGGGCTACATTATGCAAAGACTTTGCGGATTGTTGGTAGGCTCCATTAGCCAATATAAGCTAAGACAGACTTTACAAGTTCATGCCCTCAGGAAGGAAAATTTCTAAATTCGCCAGTCTATTAGTACGAGTCAAAATTTTATTGAACTTTCTAATCAAAAGTTGCACTTATTTTTAAGCTAGGCAACACTATTAGGGTAGTTCATCCTAGTGTGAAGTTCATTTATGATAGTTTGCCAACTAGTTTGGAAAAATGTTGATCGGTTTCCCTTTGAAATCTCATCATCCATCAAATCAATAAAAATAGACTCAATGTTTTGAGGTCATGGTCCATCTTTCCGCTTCACATCAACATCCACAACATGATCATCATCATTAAAAGTTCCTTGACCTTTTTAACCACGCAATCAGACCAAAACCAACAATAAATGAAAAACAAGTCTTGATGTATGACCTCAAGTCCTACTCTTATAATTTAGGCAAAGAAAAAAAGTATAATAATTTTCGTCTTATTAGAGCCTTGGTGCAAAATGCATGAGAAATTGAACATATACGTGTGGTAAATACATGGAAGGGTGTAATTGTGAAAGTAAAAAACATATCGGTTTGGGCGCGAAAAAGGCGGTAGTATTTGGAAGCCGGAGACCCGTTTGACAGCAAGTTTGTTGGAGAGAGGGGATTTGTAAGATTGATGAGGTGGGTGAGCAAAATTCTGAATAGGGGGCAGGCATAGGCAAACAGGTAGAAATACCAGAGAGAGAGAGAGAGAGAGAGAGAGAGAGGGGAAGCCATTAGGCCCAGATGAATATCATGTGAAAGGGCATCCTCCTACAACCCACAGCTGTGTTTTTTAAATCTCGTTTCATTCGCTTACCCATCAGAAAAATGGTCTCATTTTGATGCGGGTATATGCGAATAAAAGGAGATTGTTGAAGAAATCTAAAAAGAAAAGGGAAAAAAATTGAATTGAAAATTTTATTATGAGTAGGAAAAAGAGCCAAGTTTGGGATGTTCCCTCCAATGGCATGGACGACGACACAGCCGTGGCTCCTCCTCCGAAGCCCAGCCCTGAAAAAGAAAGGCTCTACCTAGTCTGGCAGGGTAACAATGTATGATGTTATATGCTCATGATGATTATGGGTTATTTTCTTGTGGAGATCTTGTTTATGCAGAATGATTTGTTTCATGTTTTAAACCAATTGCTCCCTTTTTATGCCTGCCTTGGGGTTGCAGCTTGGTTTTTTGGATTAAGATAATAATTCATCATTTGGGCCTTTTTTTTTTTTTTTTTTTGGTGTGAATATAATTGTTACCCCATTTTACAATTTTTTTGGTCTCATGAGTTTGTTTCTGTGGTTGTCAGAAGTACCATTAGGCTTAGGTATAGAATTGGAAGACTGTCTTCCTAATTCTGAATTGAAATATGATTCTCCAGAGGTGAAGTAAAACATACATCTTTGGGAAGTCTAGTTATCTGGGTTAATAGCTCATTCTGTTTAAATGTTGACATTAAATTGCAAAGGAGATGTTGAGTTGGTATGATATGTTGTTGTACTTGGAGTTTTTCACCCCCTAGCATGCTTGGCATTCAAATTGAGCATAAAAAGGTTCCATGACTTTGTCCTTTGTATTTTGAGCAGTTCTTTGCTTCTTTTTTCTTCAAGTGAGCTTAACTCTGTCTTGACCCCTTTGTTTTTTCTGTCAAGCCTTAGAATATCTATGTAGGATTCAACTTCATGTACTTTTCTGTTGTTTTAGATGCTAATTTTGCGTATTATTGTCAATCCAGTTGTTTGAGAAGCTTCAACCGATTAACGAGACGTAATTGATCTGTTGCCATTCATTGAGAAATCAAGACAATTAATTGCATGGCGTGGGGGAGTTTATCAAGTTTATAAGTAGAGTGACCAAAGCACCTAACAATTTTAAAAAATAAAATAAAATTTGAAGAAATGATCTGAGAAGCACCTCATCAATTAGTATTTTCACTATCTGAGGGGTTTAAAAGTTGTTGAACTAAATTTTGGGGTTGAAGGTGCCACACTATCTTTGTAACAGATAGTCTCTTGTTTGTATATCATGCTTATGGAATTATATATAAGGCAGTTCTATCAATTTTTTTTATTGTGTGGATCAGTTGAGAAGATTAACTTTGTTTCTACCCATGTCCTGCGTATAGAAAATTATAACAATTCATCTACCAAACAAATTTTCTGAAAAGTAAGGGTGTTATGCATTTTAACCAAGTAATACGAACACATTTATTGTGTTCATGAATGTGTTTACCGTCAGTCATTCTTTTTCATTCAAAATCATCCATCTAAAGTTTGGTAATTTTGTACATCCATGTCAAAAGTGGCTAGAATAACAATTTCACATTTGATTATCATATGGACTAACACTAAAAACTTCACTTCTTGACAGAAATTTTTGTGTGGTGGAAGAATAGTCTTTGGTCATGATGCTGCATCACTGTTTCTAACTAGCTTTTTGATTGGATGTCCTGCACTAACATTCTGCATAAGAATGCTTGTAACGATGAAAGGAGAACATGGACATTATGACTATCCTGTACTAACTGGGGGAATAATCCTCACTGTTTTGGTTGGTAAATTGAAATTCTTTTCCGTACAGTGGGAGCCTGCTTCACCAAATGAAAAACTTCAAACCTGACTTATATTGGCTCATGCAGGATTTCACTTTTCTGTACTTGACATCTGGTAGGGATCCTGGTATCATTCCAAGGAACTCTCGACCACCTGATTCCGATGAGGCATATGATATGTCTGGATCAATGGAGTGGGTCAATAACAAAGCCTCTAATTTGAGAATACCCCGAATAAAGGATGTACAGGTCAATGGCCATGTAGTGAAGGTAAAGTTTTGTGACACTTGTTTGCTATATCGTCCACCGCGTGCTTCTCATTGCTCGATCTGCAACAACTGTGTTCAGAAGTTTGATCACCACTGTCCATGGGTGGGTCAGTGTATTGGATTAGTAAGTTTCTTCCCCTGCCAACTATTAACTCTGCAATTTATGTTCCGGGTGTCTAAATGGAAATTGAATAAGGCTGCTAGTTTTCAAGTGGAGGTAATGAAACTTAGAAATTCTTCTGGTCAGTGTATTGCGTTATATTTGAGAATTTGTTGGATATTATGTCCCAAACTCTTCATTTGGCTTTGTCAATTGGTAAAAGTTGATATTCTCAGTTACTTGTGTTGATATTCTCAGTTACCTGTGTTGAAGTGAATTCTGTTCCTTGTTTTATAAGAAAAGTCTTTCTTTGCCTAAAAAGGGGTTGGTTTTTGTATAACTCTATGAATATATAAGTTTAGCCAAAAATATGACAACGGGATAGATGTGACAGTAAACAAGAGTGAAGAAAACACCAGGAGTAGGAAGAAAAGTTTGTCTTATGGCTGGATACCAAGTAGCAATGTGATGTAGGACAACCTAAGGGGTCACAAAATGTATGAAACACTCAACCAGACTAATGTTCTTTCATTAAAATGGATACTTTGGTGACTAGCAAGCTATGTGTACCATAAGAAAAAGTAATGTGGCCATGCGTTGGCTAAAATATGGAAGGTTTCAAACTCACAAAATACAATTCACCCATAGGATTCATTAGTTTCCTTAAGGAAAACTACCTAAAAGAGTTTGTTCCAATATAAAACAATTTGCACTCTTTCTAACCTACCTCTTTCATGTTCTTGTTCTTGCAGCGTAACTATCCATTTTTCATTTTGTTTATTTCGTCATCAACCTTCCTGTGCATATATGTCTTTGTCTTGTCTTGGATCAACATTCTTCGACAAGGTGGCAATCTATGGAGGGCCATGGGACATGACATCGTATCAGTTATTCTCATAGTATATTGCTTTGTAGCAGTATGGTTTGTTGGTGGGCTAACAGTTTTCCATATCTATCTAATTTGCACCAACCAGGTAGACCTCTTCGCTTTCTTATTATTATTATTTTTCCAAATCATTTATCAATAATGCAATTTCCTGTAGTCTGGTCACTTTCCTTCTCATATATAAAACTAAGATTATCTGTTAGTTGTCTGCACTGTATACTCAATACTGTATTGCAGACATCTATGTCTATATTAGAGAAGAATGATAAGGGAAATAATGATACATTCATTGTGCTATCTAGTGCCACCGTGCGTATTTGAGTTCACTTCATAAAATATGATTTAGATTATGCTAAGTACATGTTTTTAGACAGCCTACATGAGGAAAAAAATCCCTCCTTCTCTGTGCTATCTAGTGCCACTGCTCTGCTGCAGTCTACTTTAACCTTTGATCTCAAAATCCTCAAAATCCTTAATTGAGATGGAAAACTACTGGTCAGGGTAACAAGAATAGATGTATTGTTCTAGGTTTCTTTTCTTCTTTGGGATTGATGATTCTCTTGCTTAATTTGGTAAGAAATGTATCTTTAATGCATTACCTGCCTTGAATTAACGTATAGTTATATACAGGAAGGGGGATAGCTACCTATGCATATATGTCATATAGGATATTGACATGAATTCTAGATTATTGCAAACTCTATCACAGATCTGATAATTTAGGGGTACAGAATAACTAATACTCGCTAACCATTATCTCTAATATACTAAAAGGTTGGTTTGTTCTTGTTAGGCTACAATGTAACTCAAAAGCTTAAACTTGTGGTAGTAGTGGTAAACCAACAAAATTTGACATGGTATCAGAACTTTGGTTCTGAGAGGTCTTGGGTGCAGATATATGTTTCTCTATGTCCATAGTGATGCACCTGAGGGAGATGGGGGTTAACTTGGAAGACGTTGTTGGCTCATTCCTAAATAGCTTACACTTCTTCTTCTTGCTTTTTTTTTTTTTTTTTTTCTGGTATAGAGGGGATGTTAAGTTGATGTAAAATTTTGGCACATCCCTAACAACTTAAGTATTTGGGGCACAGTGTTATCTGTTAATTTTGTGCAGAATGAGTTGCGCATATATGTTTCTGTCTACCTCCGCACTTGATAATCCCTACTATTTTTTGGATATGTTTTGCACATATAGTTGTTGCATGCATATTTTTCATCTTGCATCTACATGATAACAAGATGGCTTATCTTTGTTTACATTGTTTAGCACGACTGTTATTTGAATTATTACCCAGTGTTTTATTCTGAATTTAGATTTTTTCATTCTGACCACTGCTTTGTCACAGACGACTTATGAGAATTTTCGTTACCGTTACGATAAGAATGAAAACCCATACACTAAGGGAGTACTGGGAAACTTGAAAGAAGTGTTCTGCTCAAGGATTCCACCTTCAATGGTCAACTTCCGAGCATGGGTTTCAAAAGACGATGACACAGTAATGGGATCCATCGCTTCAGAGAGTAACAGAGGCTTCATTGGCTCCAAAGAAAAATTTGACATGGAAAGGGGAAGTAAGTTTGGCAAGGATGGGAATATGATGGTTCCAAGTATTTTGCAGAAATTGGACTACAGTGGGATTGATGATAACATGAAGAAGAAGAATTTGGGTAGCAGTGATTTTGATGAAAATTTAAAACGGAAGGCAGCAGATGAACCTGCATTAAATCCATTTATCTTTCCTATTGGTCAAGAACAAAGACGTTCACAGGGAAATTCTGGCATAGGAGTTAATTCTACTAATGATAAGAGGCCTCAGTAGTTCCAATTGGACAACATCACTGCTTGTTTTCTAAATAAAAAGACAAGAAAAAGAAAAAAAAGAAGGTATTCTTTCTCTCAGTCTCTTTATACTTTGAATATGGATATTTAGCATTTTTTTCCATGAAGATATTAGCTAATGATATGTTGCCGGACATCATGGTAAAGTTTATTTTATCGCATCAATGACCTTTAATCTAGTTGCATGAATGTGAATTTGTTTTCGGTGACAAACTTCATATTGCAACAATGTAGGTGGGATGTCCTTTTCCCTAACAAGTTCCAAGTCAAGTATTTTATGACTTGTTAAGTATTTTATAGTTATCAAGGGGCGGCAACATGAATGCCAAAACTTTAAAGTTCGGAGCATCTCCTACAGTTTGGCACACTTTTCACTTTTTCAACTCCAATGAAACAACTTATGATCATGTTAATTTGAGTTTGAGATAAATAATTCCCAATCTCATATTTGAGATAATCTCATTTCACAAATAGCACAAATAGAACTTCACCATTGGATCAAGTTTGGCAATATCTCATTCCAAGCTATGAGTTATAGAATTGGCAATGGCACCTCATACAGCACCTCCTAGCTACTAGAAGTTTTGAAACATTTGAAGTCAACAAGCCGCTTTGGCTTCTACTTACCGTGGATCTGCAAACTGCAATGGCATTGTCTGTTTGAAAGCAAAAGTAGCAGTGGGAAATGGTTCCAGAAAACTGGTGTAGTTTAGATTTTGTGGAGAAGCTTCAGATATCATATAAGATATTAGCTTTTCTTTTTTGTTCTTTTTTCTTGGATAAAACAGGCTTTGGATTTTGCAAAATCACTTCATGTGTTTATGGACTCTATTTTGCATGTTATGTTCTGCTATTAACTTGTTGAATTAAGAATTAATTTGCAACTCTTGCATAGTAATTGGTTGTCCTTACCTTGTCTTACTGTTTTTGCTCAGGTTTTGGTGCAGAAAACTTTTCTCAGTGCATGTATGCCATATGACAGATTGACTGAACATGATGGGGGCTTAAAAATGCTAATATACTGAGATTGGAGGTAGAATTTGAAGGTCAGTGATGTATTTTTAATGGAATGAAGAAAATGAAATTAATTCATTCTTCTGCACATTCTTGTGTTCAATCTCTCTCACCCCAACTCCTATTTTTATCCTACTTCATTACTGAATCTACAAAACTAGAAGAGCTGTGATATGGCACAAACAGGTGCAATAAATAATAGCTCGGTACATAATAAAAAAAATAAAAAATGAAGGTGCTACATTAAAGAACAATTTTACAGGGTTGAGTTCTTTTCTTTCTTTAGCTTTTAGGAACTCATGTAATTTATCTTTTTTTTTTTTTTTTTCTCTCTGGGATTAGAGTATGTAGATTATGTGAGCTAATGGTATTTAATTAAAAATGGACCATGCAACTCAGGCTTTACGTTTCGTTCTATAATAGATACATATCCAAGACTGAAAAATACGGCTTATGCTATTGCTCCCACTTTTCTTTCTTTCCAGTTTTGCTATGAATTTATATCGAAGTTCAATTACTAGGTTCAATTACTAGGCCGACCTTACCACAAATAGGCCAGGTTTCAAACCCTGTCCAAGAACTAAAAGGCTCCGGTCGGTAGGCTAGACTAGACTGTATTGAATTAACCCTTTTATATTACAATGGACTGTTTGGGATATGACTGGATTTTTAGCAATTATTTGGTGCAGTACATCACCAAAGTTGAGATTAATCTGGACTGCCATTATTTCATTTTTATTTTTATTTTTATATTCTCATTCCCAAATTAATTTTAACAAAATCAATTTTCAAGCCAACACAAAAAAAAAAAAAAAACGATTTTCAAACTTCAATAAGTATCCATAGCAGCTTGACTTCTTAATATGGAGGAGGAAATAGAGTAGTCTTGTTCCAACTTACAAAACAGAAAGATGAGCTTATAAGATTTCAAAATTTCCAATTCATAGTTGTAGAGGCTTTTTCGTTCCGGCAGCTACTGATGGCCCTGGGCTGCTGTAAAAAGCCAAATGTGTGATATTGCCCCTGGGTTTGAGTTCAAGAATCAGACCCCAAGAGTGCTTTAAAAGGGTAGCTGAGCCTTAGGAAACACCTTGGTCTTCTTCACCAATGAAACCAACAATTGCTTACAAATAAATTCTTAGCTTGGCTTGAGAAGCTTGTGGCATGGAAGATAAGCATTCATGAGTTTAGCATGAGAGAGAGAGAGAGAGAGAGAGAGAGAGAGAAAGAGAGAGAGAGAGAGAGGGACTAGATTTTCTACGAGAAACAGAAGTTTAAAGTAAAGGATTTCATGAGAATTTGCTGAGGAGAGAGAGAGAGAGAGAGAGAGAGAGACAGATTGGGGTGGAAGAATGGGTGCTTTGGGTAATTTTCCTCCAGCTTGACGAAAGCTTCGTCAGGCGCTGGAATGGCTTACCAGAAGAGAAGATGGGAAGAGATGGAGGAATATGGCTCGAAATTGAAGGGTTCCAAGGATGAGAGGTGATGCTTGCTCTCTTTGGATGTGTGTTTTTGGGAAAGAGAGGAAGAAGATGGAAGAATAGAGCATGAAATTAGAACGAGCTTGAGTTTTGGTGCTCCCAAGTAGCCCAAAATTTCTACTCCTTGGACTATCAACGGGCCTCGTGAATACTCGTAACCAGGCCAAAATTCTTGACTGGAGGGGACACCAAAGGCCTCTGCCCTTCCATCCCTTGGATAGATAGAGGGGAGGGCAGAGCTTTTGGTTTTTCATGTTGTCAAAGAGTCCATACCACAACCCGCTCAGCAAGCCCCAAGCATTTGTGTGGTTTGGGCCCACTTAAGCTTGTAGCGTGGTGTGTTGCTTATTTGCTTGGCGTGGCACTTGTGCAAGCGCATATGACGAACTCTTGCGTACCAAAGTTGGGTTTCTTCCTAAGTTAGGTGTCGTACTGGGCTAGGAATATATTTGGGCCTAGCCTTCAATTTTTTGTGCCTTAGCAATAGTTAACTCTTGTTGTGGAGTCAAATTTACATGCAGCATTAGCCCAAAGGGTGTGAGGACCCAATAGAATCTTCTAGCCCAACAATAATTGCAAAAAGACATTTTGGGTGCATTTTATGGGTATATTTTACTAATATGTTTGAAGGCTCTTCCAAAGAAAGCAAAAAGCTAATGTGTTGAAGTAAAATAATTCAATTTTTATTTAAGCACATGACCTTCAAAATCAGTAGACCGGCTGTTGTATGAATGGAAATTATTTCGTGTGAGTTTAGTTTGGGAATTTTAGTTATTATACGATTAATTCCCAAGAGATTTAATTTGTTAAGCATTTATCGAGAACAAAGAAGCTTTTGAACACACAAAAAATGGAGACATAACTCTTGTATCATTAGACATATTTGATAAAATCGGTTCATGTCTATGCAATCACTTAACAAACAAATTTAAAAAAGAAGAAGAAAAAAAAAACCAGTTCAATTATCACTAAAAGAAAAATAATAGTCTATAGATGACTAGACAAAAAGTGTCAAAGAATAATAATAGGTATGTAAGGGCTCTCTAAGGCCTGTTTGAGATTGCTTTTTTTCGTTAAAAACCTATTTTACTTTAAAGTTAAGTAGTTTAAGGTGTTTGGTAAAAGTAAAATATTCCGATTATTTTAAAAGCAGTGGCCTTTTGACACTAGCTTTTCAAAGAAGCAGAGATGAGCTTTTAATGAATTTTTTAATTCCAAAAATACCATCATTAATTTTTCAAAATGACACCACCTCCACCTCCACATCGAACTCCACCACCTCCATCACCACCTTCACCACCACCACATCCTCCTCCACGACCACCACTACCACAACCACCACCTCTTCCTCTACCTCCAACACCGCCGCCACCGCCACCACTGCCTCCTCCTTAACCTTCACTAGCTCCTCCTCAACCTCCACCACCTCCACAACAACCATCTCCTCCACTACCACTACCACAATAACCACCACCTCCACCTTCTTCATCACCACCACCACCTTCACCTTCATATCTTTCACTACCACCTCCTTCTCCACCACCACTACCACCACATGATTAGCATATAACACTTTCAACATCATGTCTATTTTAGTAATTATTCACAATTACAACAGTTTTATATTAAAATTTACCAAACGATTTTGACACTGATTTTTGTATTAACAACACTTAACAAAAATTATTTACCAAACATGGAGTTGCTTTACTTTACAGCTATTTCTGAAGCACAGTAGAAACAACTCTTTAAAAAGGTGACGGCAATCCCAAACTAGCCCTAACTCTCTCACTCGAATGCCCACTGGTTCTCCTTACGAACCTCCTCTTCTTCCTGAAGCATGAAGTCATTCTTGATGTTAAAGGTCTCACGAATCTTTTCAAGTGTCTTTCCCTTGATCATGTCTGCCACAGTCTGGCAAGTCAAATCCAGCAGGCTCGTGATGTTCAGATAGTTTGTAGTCAGTATTAGGTCAAACAGAATGCTCTGGTCCACCTTCACGAAATCAGCGTCCCAATTGCCATCGACACCCTATTCATGGTGCTTATTGCAGTACTCGATCAACTTTTCGAAGGTGTTGCTGGTCACGTTCGACAAAGGTATTGCGCTGTCGACACAGTTGTCCTCCACCATGTGCTTGATGGTCTGCAACTGCATGGCCACAGCCTCCTCCACCTCGATGGTCTCACTGTCGTCGCTCTTCAAGGTTATCTTCTTCATCTCGTCGGAGGCCATTGTCTCTTTGAATTATTAACTAAATCTTTAAGTTGAAAACTTGGGAGTGTTTTTATTTTCTGACTTTGGAAGTTGAAGGGTTGAGTGATTTGAGTTCCAAAGGTTGAGAGACTTGGCATGATTTTATAGCCTACTCGTAGCACATTGTCCATGTAAGATAAGGAGAGAAATATATATATTTTTTTCTCGTATTAGGAAACATTTTCATATTAAGAAAAGGAACGTCAATGATGCCCTTGTAACAAAAAGGAAAGGGAAATTGATCAACAAAAAAAAAAAGTAAAGGGATTTTCTTTTTACTTTTTTACTTTTTCCTTCTTTGCTATTTATTGTCATATATCCTTTTTCATGCAGCCTAATTTTATGCAACCATATTACTGGAAAAGATTTTGGTCGAAGATACTAGGGGGACCCTTTGCTACAAAAAGGAGGAGATGACATCCAACGTTGGTTTTATGCTGAATATTTTATGAATTATGTGATATGTGGTAGTGTGACTCGAGTGTATTTGGGATTTGGGTTTCTTGAGTGATAAACACTTTGTATACTCTCTTTGATTATAGTGGATTACTCCATCGTTTACAAACTGGATGTAGGCATAGCCAAACCAGTATAAATCTTGGTGTTCTTGTTGATTTTATTTTGTTTCTTTTATCTCATGCCAGTTGTTGTTTACTTTCATCCACTTACACTACTTGGTTGACTCTTCTGCACAACATATGGTATCAGCGCTCTAGTTTTGATTGAGGTTTCCGTTTGGAATTGGTGGTGCTACAGTACCCATGAACAGTACATGTGCTATAGTACCGTGAATAGTGTCGAGTGGATTTGATGGCTGGATATAAAGACGAACCTGTTAAGGAGAAGGAGTCGGCATCGTCTTCGTCGACACCTACATCCAGTAGACATCCAATCGCTACTACGAGGTTAGAGGTTGATAAATGAAATGGATCTAATAATTGACATGTGGCAATGTGAAGTTATGGATGTGTTATATCAACAAGAGTTGGATATTGTTCTAGAAGATAAACTCGAAGAAATTGATGATAAGGAGTGGAAGAGACTTAATCTTCATGCTTGTGGCTTTCTTCAATTGTTTCTTGATAAGGAGTTGAAATACCCATATATAAAGGAAACTTCTTCAAAGGAGTTATGAAGGAAATTGGAGGAGAAGTACATAACCAATAGCGCAGAAAATCGGCTCTTCCTGAAGAAGCAACTCTTTCGATTTCAGTATCGTTAAGGTATTTCTATGCACGAACACCTCAATGATTATAATAAAATACTTGTTGATTTAGCAAACCTTCATGTGAAAATTCCTGATGAGGATAAGACACTATATTTGCTAAATTCACTGTCTGATGATTATGATCATGTGACAACTACTTTGTTGTATGGAAAATCCAAGGGGAAACTTGATGAGGTGTCTGCGGCATGGTGAATCATGAATGTCGTAAGAAGGAATTGAAGACTCAAAATTCACAAACCGAGGCACTTGTTGCAAGGGATTGAACAGAGGAAAGAAAATCTAGGAAGCAGGGAAAATCTCATTCGAAGTCACGAGGGAAGTTTCCTGCTAAAGTTGAATATGCCTTTTGTCGCCAAAAGGGTCACTGGAAGAAAGACTGCCCCAAATTGAAGAACAAAGAGAAGGAGAAAGTGGGTTCTGAATCAAATTTTGCAAAATCTGGAGA